CTTCTGACAGATATTTGGATGGTGAATTAATAAGTGGGTTTTGAAGACCATTTTGTAAGTTTGAGTAATCCCAGAATATCCGGGGATTTGGTGGGCGTAAACAAATACGGCTACTTTCAGGCATGTATTTTTGAAAACTTCACTTTATGAGCTAATTGTTTTTAGAACCCCTGTACTAGTCACTGTCACTCTGCCCCTGCAGAGGACCTTGACCCAGCCAGAGGGCCCTTCACCACGAATGCCCAGCTTTTCTGGGGTGGTAGGAGTGAGGAAACCAGGACAAACCCTGGGTGCTTGGTGGCAGTTTTCAAAAAGGAGGGGAAAGCAGGCCAGATCTCTGTGACCTGTGAGAGAGTAGGTGAGAACCGCCTGGTCCTGACAGGAGACCTGGAGGAGGAAGAGAGGGGACAGGCGGCGGCAGGAGCGTCCCTGCACAGACTGTGCCCGTATGGGTTCCTTAGCCACTCCACAGAAACCTGTGTCACAGCTGAAAGAGTGCAGGTTTTCAGTGTTTTGAAAACATTGTCCTTGTTGTCTGAGTCTGGGTTATGTGTTCTTTGGCCGGTCCATTTTCCTTCTTTCATCCAGCCCTGCCCCGCCCTTTTTAATAGATTCAGCGCCAGCACTGGAGATTCAGTGCAGTGGTCCCTGAACACTGCGAGTAGGCGATGCCCTGCCAGAAATGGTAATGATGGGGGTTGAACTTCAGGGCTCCCCTCTGCCAAAGTCAGATAGTGTTCGTCCCTTAGCTGTCTCATGTTGCTGTGTTTCTCAAAAAAGAAAGCCCCCATCGGAAGCTCTTCTGTTATTCCAGGCATCACCACGCTGAAGTCATCCAGTCCTGGGCCACCTCCAGAGAGCTGTGTTAGTGCAGTTCCTCTTTGCCCTTTAACCTCGTCATCGTCGTCCTGGGTCCTTTGGGGGCTGGCTCAGGACCCTCACCCATTGCATTGGGAAAGGGAGGAAGGGAACCAGGTGTCAGGCTGCCCGTACAGACAGGGAAGAAGTAGTCCAGGAACTCTCCCCGCTGCGTCCTGGCCCTGCAGCTGGGCAGACAGCCAGGCCGGGCCGGGCCTGCCCAGGATTGTGGAGCCAGGACTTGTGCTGCCCGCGTCAGGTCTGTTTCTGTGCTTCTCGCCATTTCCCCCACGAAGTTTAGGCGTTCAGAAGTGGGGCGCTGTACCTTTTATACCTCCCCAGTCGGGGTCAGTCTGAGCAAATAAATGTATCCATGGGTAATGTCTATTTGCAGACCCCTGGGTTTGCGCCGTACAGACACAGGTTTTAAGCGTAGACTGCTTGGGGTCTGGGAATGTGGAGAACACGGCGTGGCCTGTGAAAGAGTGCCCAGTGGTTCACGGATACACGTGTCTTTATGAAACGTTCTTGTAAGTGCGACGCTGTGTAACAAACTGAAATAATTTGAAACATTTTTAAACATTTTTAGGGGTTTTTTTTTTCAGGGAAGAATTCTTTTTCTACTAATATTCATGAAGTTGTGTTTTTTAAAAGGAGACTTGAATGGATCAATGTAAATTAAATATTATTTGCATTCAAGTTTTCAGTCACATTATAGCATTAATTGACAAATTATACCTATCTCCTTTCCCCACTACTCTACCAAAGTAGTCTTCATGATGTCTTTTTCAGAAACTTACTTATGAAAGAATACTCCTAAGTGTATCTGGTCACAGTAATTTCAGGTCTTTAACTTAGTGATCCTTTTACTCTGGTTGCATTTTTGGTTTTTTGCTCAATGCTATAAGCTTGTGTCAGAGAGAACAGTTTGTAAAAGAGTTACATCGATGTGTTATTAAAATATAACCCTTTTGTCCATTGTATAAAATTATATATATGTTAGGAAGGGATTTAAAAATCAATGTTGTTTTTCCCCCAGGTGAAAATAAGGCATCCCAGCTGGGTCCGAGAAAGGCTAAAAGGAACCTGAGAGTGTGCGCGCTCTCAAAGGCTCTCTTGGTGCTTTTGCTGAATTGCTCTCCACAAGACAGATGCCTACACTAAGCTGGAAGTTCGTAACCTGCCTCTGGCAGTATTGGGGAAGTTAAATGCAGGCTGTTCAAAGTCTTGTGTGTGTTGACTTGTGGCTCAGGCCCTGCAATTGCTATTTAGTTAGTATGTGTCAGAAATTCTTCATGATTGATTACTTCTTGTGTATGTCGTATAAAAAGGTACTAGAAGTAGTATTTCTACTTCAGTTTTGGTGCAGATATTTGATAGGGTTTTTTCTCATTATCTTATTGTTAATTGATTTCTAATTTAATTCCATTCAGAGAACATACGTTGAATTTCAGTCTTTTTAAATGTATTGACCCTTGTTTTGTGACCTAGCACATCCTGGGGAAGTTACCAAGTGCACTTGAGAAGATCGTGTATTCTGCCGTTGTTAGGCATGGTGTTCTGCAGATGGCATTGAAGTTGAGGTTAATAACGTTCAGATAGTGTATGTCTTTGTATCATTTCTAGTTATATTGGCTGCTGGAAAAAATATAGAAACAGGTTACATCTTTAATGGCAGGTTTGGTTAAATTAATAATTGCAAAGTGATGTCCATACAGGAGTACTGGTAATTTGTGGTCACAGGGTTCACTTTACCTATTACCTTTGCTTTTGTATATATTTAAAATTTTCCAGAATAAAATCTTAAAAGCCACAATCTCTTGGGTAATGATTGTTATATTTCAGGAAGTTAATGCCACTTGCTCCACTAGAAATAGAAAAAGTGTTTGAAATTTCTACTAATTTTTACCTCATGACTTAAAAGGTTCTATTTTGGTACATGTTTTATGGTGCATGGTATAGCCAATAGTCTGAAATATCATTTTAAAACACAGGTCCATGTATGTGGGGGAGAATTGTGTAATGCGATATACTTTTTGTGTCTTTTTGTTTTTAAATAGTTTTACTCCAGTGAGAGATGTCATTTTTGTTCCAAAAGTCACAGTATCATTTGGATGGTCTTGTAAACCATATCTTAAATTTTATATTAAAATAACAAAATTTTTGTGACACTCATTTTTAAATGCTTTGTTTTGTCAGATATTTAATTAAATGGCATTTATATATTCTAACAAATAAAAGAGGTAAAATGGTGTCTTAAGTTCTATTCCCTGTATAAGTATGAAATTAAGAGTGTTTACTAATAGTCAGTAGTAAGAATTGGGGAGGAAGGGAAGTAATTTCATATTTTCCATTACTAGTTATTGCTATTGAAAACCTTCTCTCTCTTCCACTTGAAATGTTTACTTCAAGGATCATATGAAACTGGGAAAGCAAAGGGAATCATATGATTGGCAGGCAGAACATCACTGGGAAACTGCATCCCACCACACCCTGTACTAGCCTCAGTTCGAGTCTCAGCCCCACCCCCACCTCGGTTCTGCTTCAAGGACAAAGTAAATCACACACGTTCCAGATCTGAGTGTTAGCTTTTAAAATGTGTATCCGTGCAGTTTAGTTCCGTATCCATTCGCTGCCTGCCATTGGCTCTCTGATACTAGAACAGTTTACATTCTCAGTATTTGCTTTGGTACTTTGTATTAAGAATATATTGATGTTTGCAAATTTGAGAGAATGTTCTTGGTGGCTTTTGTTAACTGGGAACACTTTGAACATTATAAAGCGGCTATTTAGACAGATGTAGAGATTGAAAGACATAATGTTTTTTGGAAGGGTTTTTGGTTTTTAATAAACTTTTAGGTAATCAAAAACTTGTCTGCATTTTCCCGTTTCTTGGGCATAATATGATCAAGGTTTTCCTTAATATAAAAACAAATTTACAAAATCTACTAACATTTACATTAAAGAACAACTTCCAGTGAGGACTTTTTCACCCACCAACATCATTAGCTGGGAGAATTGAATCTCTGGCCTATACACAGGGTTCTTATATCGAAGTAGTATCGACAGTGACGTATTTGGATATTAGCAGGTTATTTGGCACATTTCCTCATGAGGAACATGATGGTTTCTTGAAGAACAGAACTAAGAAACTTAAGCTGACTGATAATACAATTAGACTGACTTGTAATTTAGCTCAGTAAACACAGATTGCATTCTTGCCATCTAGAGGGATGTGGCCCTCTCTCCTTTGATTTGAACGCAGACAGATGGCATGTATTGTTTCTTAAAATCACAGATAATGTGAACCTGGGGTACATACTCCTGATAAATTAGACGGCATTCATTTAGAAAACCCAATTGTCTTTATGAGTTAGAATAGAATATCTCACGAACAAGATGACTCTTAATAAAACATAAATGTAAATGCTTTTCCTTTGCCCCCTCTCCACAAAAAGAATATTTAACAACACACCGTAGGAAATGGAGGTTCCGAAGTGTATCTGACCTTGGCCGGGTAGGTCAGTTGGCTGGAGCGTTGTCCTGCACACCAAGAAGTTTGCAGATTTGACCCCCGGGTGGGGTGCCTGTGGGAGGCGACTCATGGATGTTTCTCTCTCACATCAGTGTTTCTGCCTCTCAAAAAAAAAAATCAATAAACATGTCTTCAGATGAGGATTGAAAAAAATTAGAAGTATATCTAATGACATGAGAGATTTTTCCCATTGTTTCCAAAAAAGCAAGATTCAGGATTACATTCATAATGGGATCTCAATTTTGTGTTAAAATATATACATTAGTACAAAATGTTGACAGAGTAGTTCCAGATAATTAGGAGTAGTTTTCATTTTGCCTTTCTGTATGTTTATTTCCAAATTTTCCACAGTGAGCATGTATACGACACAGAGAAGATAAGGAAGTGATTTTTTTAATGGCTTAGATTTGCAATCAGAGAGTATGTTAATTTATATTCATGGTAAGGATTTCCTTCCTCCTTTGTTTGTTTATAACACTAGTCACCCTGGTACAAAAGTCTGCATCAACTGTGGCGTTCTCAGTGTGTTGATGTTTCCTCACTCCACTGCAGTGGAGTAAAGGAGGAAGACTCATTGAATGTCTTCATTGTTTTCTCTTTATCAAAGGTTGAATTAATTAAGGGGAATTTACAAAGTGTCGGGCTTACACTTCGCCTTGTCCACTCAACCGATGGTTATGCCGGGCACGTCATCATTGAGACTGTGGCCCCGAACTCGCCTGCTGCGCTTGCTGACCTCCAGCGAGGGGACCGACTGATTGCTATTGGAGGTAACCGCGCCGCTGTGCTGTGTGCTGTGTGTTCTCAGGGAATGCGGAGGGCGGTGTGGGGTCCTCCTCTCCGTTCATTTCTGTAAGTCGTGTTACTTCTATAGTGGAAGGAAAGTAGTAACTTTATTATAAATAAAAATGTGAAGGAAACCTTAAAACTTAATTTAAAACACATGTGCCATAGGCGCTTAGGATAGCAAAACCATACAATAAACCTCATCTGTTAGTTGTGAAACATAAACATGGCAATTACTCTTTCTCATCTAAAAACTGCAAATCAGTGTAAAATTTTTTCATATTCACACATACTATTTTGGTTTTACCTACAGGATAAAGTTCGTTTTTTTTCTTATGCACTTTTATGAAGGGTTTTGTTTTGAGTTACACAAGCCGTAAATATCCGTTACCAAAAATTAACCAACCTAAGCAGTATAAATGCATGCAGAGTGGAGCAGTATGTCTGACATTCGTAAAAGATGTTTATTGAAATAAGAGGCAGGTGTGAGATGCATTAGTTTTTATAGCTCTAATTCATTTATATGGGTCAATAATTTTTAAGTATTTAATAATGGGATTGATGACAGTTGAAATAGATTAACAAAATGTTTGTTATATTTGAAATTCAGTAATAGAGTTTATTTTACTATTTCATCTACTTTGCATATATTTGAAATGTTCCAGAAGAAAAAGAATTCCTGTTTGGCCAGCCGGTCCTAGGGGCACAGCAGCCACCTCCAAAGGGCTCCCGATGGCTGGGGAAGCGACGAGATATGGGCAGGTGTTAAATCACAGAGAGTGGGTTTAGACTGAGCGAAGTTTTCGCCTGCTACAGATTGTTAGATGGGCTTATTTTTCATTTACGCACATGTCAAACTACAATTTTGCTGGGACGTACTGTGGTTAAAGGGAAGTAGTAGAAGTTAAGGGTGGATGAATTATGAAGAGTCACATTAGAAAGCTCTGGATTTCAGCATGGTGAGTTTATAGGCTGAAGAGTTTTGAGCGATATGTTGGGTGATTCAGATAGGCAAGGTGTGAGTGAGGGTCACAGTGAAGAGCTGTGATTACTGCAGTTGAAGCCGGTGATCTGGAGGGGCCAGGGAGGAGGTGAAATGGACTGGAACTTTGACACCTGGCGCCTGAGTGGGGCATCAGCTGTGTCCGGGACTTGCAGCAGGTTAACCGAGGGTGCAAGTTGGTCCACATAATCGTGAGGACAGGAGCAGGAGAAGGTCAAAGAGGGTTTTTAACTACACTGAATTTGCAGCGTCAGAGAAACATCCAGGTGGTGACATCCAGAAGGAGTTGGGAATGTAGGAAAGAGGAAAGGAAAACTACTAGGTAGTTGAAACCTCTGAAGTGAATGTGATCCAGGAAGAGAGCAAAAGGCAGAGAAAACTAATGACGGCCTAAACCATGGGAACATCTGCATGCAAAGGGCAGATGTAGGTGGAGAGAAAGTAGAGAAGAGATGCTCTGGACCTAATTAGTACAGTGTCATGAAAATGGTTTTAAAGTAGAAGGAGGAAGGGACTAAAAATATGAGGGTAATGGATGGAGCAAAGTGCTGAAGGAGACAGGGGAGAGTGGGATCCGAAGTACAAGGAAGGGTGATCCCCCTTCTTGGAGGTGGGAAACACTAAATATTATCGGCAGGGAGGAAAGGCGGCTTCTGGTTGATCTTTTCAGTACATTAGGTGATGTCTTCTACAGAATAAAGGAGCAGGGAGGGTGGGCTAGGGACTAGGAGAGGTTTGAGCTGGTGTTTTAGAGATTTCAGCTATTTAGAGACTTATTTAGAGACCAACAAAATGCTAAGGCAGCACTGAACGCCTTGCTGAAGATGGAGAGTGTAACTTGGTGCTGGATCAGGTGGAATCTCAGGAGCAGGAGAGGGAGACCGGGGGGCTAGCGGGCCTGGAGCTCAGAAAGACAGATAGATGTAGAAGAGGAGAGGGCCAGGGCAAAAGAATAGAAAATCTTGATGTGAACATCACTGAAATCTTGAGACTAAGGTCAGAGAGAAAGCAAGTGATATCAGGAGAACCAGATGGACCATGAAAGCAAAGGAGGAATGATGAAATCTGGAAATGACCTCAGAGCAGACTCAGTTCACAGAGTGGATTGTCCGAGGTGGAGAATAGGAGACTGCGGCCAGAGACTAATTTCCAAGTGGAAGAGCTTTGCTGTGGGCAGGTGCCAAGTGATGGCCAGGTCTGCAGCACGGTCTCCCCGGGGCAGCCAAAGTAAGAGAGGAGATAGGCTGAGGAGCTCTAAAGTCAAGCTGTTAGATGGGGCTGATGTTGCTTTGATTTATTTAGGATGACCCTAAGACCTTTGGGGAGCAAAGGCCCGTCACGCCTTTCTCTGATGTCCTACAGAAAGTGACAGCTTGGGTCAGTACTATTTCTGGGAGCGCAGCGACGGAATGGGAAGCAGACGGAGTCTGTAGAGGATGCTCACCTGGAGGATCTCTAGAGAGTGCATGGGAAGCTGCGGGCTTTGATCGCCTGGGGGAAGGAAGAATGTTGCTAGGAGATAAAGGTGGAAGGGAGAGTTTTCAGTGTACATCTTTGAGCCTTTTGAATTTTGACCTGTGTAATGTAGCACCTGTTAGAAAATAATAAAAGGAAAACTTAAGATAGATATTATCAATATACATGCAGATAGTAACCAACTTGTTTAACTTTAAAGCAACTTATGCCTTCCTTATTCTTTCTGGTTCTCAAAAGGATTAGTTAATGAGTAAGGCTAATAAAAGGAATCTATAAAAGAGTACATTATGTATAAGATAGTATTTTGCTAAGTTTATTTTAAGCTCTTAATTTGAACCAATTGCTTGTAGTACTTGGGCTAAATTGGGATTTCCTGCAGTAGAATCAATTTCCCATCATTCAAAGTCTGGTTTAACCATTAGTATTCCTTTTTTACCTAATTTTTAAACATGTATTGATTTTAGAGGGGGAGACAGACACCAATTTGTTCTACTTTATATATGCATTCTTTGGTTGAGTCTTGTATGTGCCCTAACTAGGGATTGAACCCACAGCCTTGGTGCATTGGGACACTGCTCTAACCAACTGAGCTACCCAGGCAGGGCCATTAATAAAATCCTCTCATAAGGTCTCACTCAGCTCACTTAAACTGCTGTACAGTGTCAAACCAAGGAAGGAATGGGAAGCAGTTAGGAGTTACCAGCTTGGCACCTGTCTAAGGATTTTCGCGTCATCCTTTGGTTTCAAAGGGTAAACATTTCTAGGACATCAGCATGTGCAGGGTTTGAGATCAGGACACAGGCGCATCCAAAAGCTAATCATGTATTTTGGAGGTTTACATATTACTTTTTCATTAGTTAAATAATCATGAGTTAATGGCAATTAATTTAGCAATTTAGGTCATTCTTATCGCAGTGACTTATGTTTTCCCTTTTAAACTCTTAGGTGTGAAAATCACATCTACACTGCAAGTGTTGAAGCTTATCAAGCAGGCCGGTGACCGGGTGCTGGTGTATTACGAGAGGCCCGTTGGCCAGAGTAACCAAGGCGCGGTCCTGCAAGATAACTTTGGGCAGTTGGAAGAGAACTTTCTGTCAAGCTCGTGCCAACCAAATTACGAAGAAGACGCAACTGGGCTGGCAGTGGAGACTGAGAACAGAGATCTGGACTCAGAATTCGAAGACTTGGCAAGTGATGTCAGAGCTCAAGCTGAGTTCAAAGAAGAGGCACAGTCGGCAAGTCACAGTCCCAAACGTACCCCATCGTCACTTTCGGTTAGACCCCTTGGGACAGTGTCGCCAGTTTTAAACCGCAAATTAGTTGTAGGGACTCACCCACCACCACCAAAACTCCCATCCAAAGAAGGAAACAGACCCTCAGCCCTAAAGCCCCCTGAGACCACAGACCCAGCACAAGTGTCAAAACCCACCCAGGGGTCCACTTTCAAACCACCTGTGCCGCCGCGCCCGCAGGTGAGAGTCCCTCTGCCTTCCGCCGACGCCCCCGGTCAGGCGGAGCCTGATGTCCCTGTGGAAAAGCCAGAGAAGGCGCTGCCTCCTCCGCCTGCAGAAAAACCCGTGGAGAAGCAAGCGAGGATGCTGGACCATCCAGAGGACGCAGCTGCGTCCAAGCAGTTTCTGACGAAGCAAGAGGTAGCGAAAGACTTGACTTCAGAAGGCCCCTGCCCCCCTAAGGACGGTTCGGATGACCCTCAAATGTGGGAATCTTCAGAGATTCCCTATCGTAATAAGCTAGGAAAATGGACAAGAACCAGAGCCACCTGTGTCTTCGACATAGAGGCCTCCCACAGGTACTTAAACATTGCGCTGTGGTGCAGGGACCCTTTCAAGGTGGGGGGGCTCATCTGTTTGGGGCATGTGAGCCTGAGACTTGAAGAGCTGGCTCTCGGGTGCCTGGCAACGTCCAACATGGAGCACCTGTCAAAGTTCCGACTGGAAGCCCCGTCCCCTAAGGCTGCGGTCACAAGAACCGCACTGCGCAATCTGAGTATGCAGAAGGGCTTCAATGACAAATTTTGCTTTGGTGACATTACTGTTCACTTCAAGTATCTGAAAGAAGGAGAACCGGACCACCATATAGTTACAAACTTGGAGAAAGAGAAAGAATTTCATTTGGTCGAGGAGGTCTCTGCCTTCCCGAAAGAGGAGCATTTTGCTGGACAGATGGGTTTAACAGAAAATAAACATAGCTTTCAGGACACTCAGTTCCAGAACCCAACCTGGTGTGATTACTGCAAGAAGAAAGTGTGGACTAAAGCTGCTTCCCAGTGTTTGTTCTGTGCCTATGTTTGCCATAAAAAATGCCAGGAAAAGTGTCTGACCGAGACTCCCCTGTGCGGAGCTGCCGATAGGCGGCTAGACCGCACCCTGAAAAACCTCAGGCTGGAAGGACAAGAAACCCTCCCGGGCCTGCCCGTTCGTGCTGACGGCGACGCCGGCAAGTCCGCCAACAAAACGACGGGCTTGACCAGGCACATCATCAACACGAGCTCCCGTTTGTTGAATCTGCGTCAGGTGTCCAAATCCCGCCTTTCTGAACCAGGAGCCGATCTCGTAGAACCCTCACCCAAACACACCCCCAACACGTCGGACAACGAGGGCAGCGACACGGAGGCGTGTGGCCCAAACAGTCCCTCCAAACGAGTCAGCGGCTCGGGGATAAAGCTCGTGAGAAAGGAGGGCGGTCTGGACGACAGCGTCTTCATCGCAGTGAAAGAGATTGGCCGTGACCTGTACAGGGGCCTGCCTACAGAGGAGAGGATCCAGAAACTGGAGTTCATGCTGGATAAACTGCAGAATGAGATCGATCAGGAGTTGGAGCATAATAATTCCCTCAGTAGAGAAGAGAGAGAGGCAACCGATCCAAGGAAAAAATCGCTGCTCTCCGCCGCTTTGACCAAGTCAGGGGAAAGGCTGCAAGCTCTGACGCTGCTCATGATCCACTACCGCGCGGGCATTGAGGATATGGAGTCTCTGGAGAGCCTGTCCTTAGACCAGCCCTCCAAAAAACTAAGCAAGTACGCAGACGATACAGAAGAAGATCTGGATAATGAAATAACCCAGCTGATAGACTCTCAGCCGTTCAGCAGCATATCAGACGACTTATTTGGCCCATCGGAGTCTGTGTGACATCTGTTTTAAACTTCCACGTGATTGGGGGAAGTTGCGCTTAAAGTACCACGGATATAACCGCGCTGAAACCTTCTTCTAATGCGCTTTGGTCTGCTTCTCCACAGTTACTTGCTTGTGTTAAGAACCAGAATGAAAAGGTTGTTTTCCAGCAAAAACATGACCAGCTCACTGAACTGGTTATTTCAGATTGCATTTACAGCTATGCTTTTTGGGTTTATACTTGGAATTTATTTTTACTAATTTATTTTTAACTTTTTCTAATTATGAGATCATGTAAGCTGACCTTTCACATTGGTGTATGTGATGTCTCATCCTGCTGTTTTCCTTCCTCTTAGTCTTTGAATCAGTGTTAAATAGGACACTGTCCGGCTTCGTATAACGTCTGTGTTTGCATCACAGTGGTAACGGATCGCTGTGCGCCCGAACTGACAGCAGCAGTCACGGAGGCAACAGGTTCTGAATCTTACTTTGTGTTAGGAAGTTTGACATTTCTACTTGCTTGAGATTTTTATTATTTTGGGTGCGGGGGGTGCTTTTTGTCTTGTTTTTGCCAAATGTAACATGAAAGCAGATACTATGGCTTTAGTCAGTTATACTGATTTAGTAAAAAATTTTTTACATATATTGCTTGCTTTATATGCCTCTGTGAAATTTTTTCTAAACCTTTTTTTCTAAAGGTTTTGTGCAGTTGAAGTTTAGTGAGGGTATAGTGATTAATTTGAAGAGCTTATTACACTGAAAACCAAAATGTAATAAGGAGTAAATACAGAATAGAGTTGGTAAAGGATTTCGTAGCCAGATGACAAGGTTACTGAAACATTTTAGCAACCAGTGGGATTTTGAAACACAGTCTTTCAAATGTTGCTTTGCCTTTATATGGAAGTTCTAAACATTTGATTATTTTTCATCTTCAGTTCTCCCATAGGAAATCAAACAGGTGTGAGGGTATCGAAAGTTTCGGAGGACTGTTCTCAAAACGACCACATTGATACTGGTTTGAGCTGTTTTATTCTAGAAACGTTTTCATGTAGGAAAATGTGAAGGAGAAGAATCACGCCCAGTGGACTTACTGCTCTCACATCCTACAGTCTGCAAGGAACGGTGGTCATTCCGAACGCTTCTGTAGTTCAGACTGTCTTCGTACGTGAGGGAAGAAAAGAAAATTAAGTAAAATAGGAAAGAAAAATAGACAGTCTGGATAACATAGGAACTGGGGCCAGTTCCCTGAAAATGAAGATCTGCTATGATACCTGGGCCATCACGTGGGTACCAGTGACACGCGATTGAGGGTGACGTGAGCATGGCCTCGGTTGGTGCGCCATTGCAGCTGTGGCCTTTCATGTGCCTCTACAAAGACCCCTGTGTTTTTCCATTTTGTTGGTAACTACTATGATCATATATATGTAAAATATATAGGTACAAGCTGTCCCATCTAGTTTTATATATATAAAGCTTGTATGACTGGCAGAAAAGGGCATGGTATAATAGTATGGATTCTGGCCCAAATCTGTAGCCCAGGACACCACACTAGAGTTCTAAGTTCACGCTCTTCCACTGGCTGTAAATGAACTGTATAACCATACGCCACACAAGGGCTTCGTGCTCCAGCTCCAAGTAGGAATAAACAAGATTTCCTCTACCTCACGAGATTGTTGTGAGGGAAGCAATAGCATAACTAAGTGCTCTGAATAGTCAAGTTATTCCAATAAAGGCATGATTTACATGGGCGATAAAAACATTTTTGAGGGTTGAAAAGTTATTCCACTTTCAAAATCAATAGCCAATTCTCATTTCCACTATTAAGTGAAATATTAGGAAACTACTTTCTTGGCCAAGTTAATAACAAAAATATAGCTGTGTATACCCCCCTTTGTTTATTTAAGCATGCTCGCGTTTTCAAAGAACACTGCTTAGGAGTTCTTTATACACAAAATTCTCCGAACGCTCAATGTTCTGTGACATGTGCTTGAAACAATCTGCCCAATGTGATAACCAATGTTTATCTTATAAAAATAACTTACCGTCGATAACCTGGAAGGTGGAGTGTCTGTAAGTGGCTGGTGTTTGTGGTTCATACTGTGGAAGCTGTAGTGACCGACACCCAAGCTGCTGCTGCAGCGCATGCTGTTTGTAAAAGAGCCTTTCGCAGAGTGCGGTGCTCGGTACGTGGGCCCGGAGAAGCAGGAGAGGCGTCGTGGTTGTGCTTTAGTGCAGGGGCAGCGCTCCAAGTAGCGTAGCGGGTAGTAAGGGTTGAGGCTTCGATGAAAACAGTTGTATTGTATTACATTCCTGATGTAATCTTGCTGCCATGCTATGTTATCAATAGCTTACAAACAATAAAGAGAAACTAACAGAAAACAAGAATATCTTCCTTTGATGGCATCTGGGCAAGGCGGTCACTGCATCTCTGCAATGAGAGCCTGGGGCAACCGGCCACGCAGACACGCTCGGCCGCCCGTTGCCGCCCAGCAGAAGTGCTATTCTGAAAACTGCCTAAAAGCATTCAGTTTTGGTTTTACTCATTTCTTCATGCTTTAAAATGCCAGATTTATGGACTTGCCTCTGCTACCTATTTATTAGCAGTTAGACTATTTAGAGTGTATTTTCTACATTGGTATTTCATGATTGGGTTAGATAACCAAGCTGAGCAACACTTCAGCACTGTTTTAGAATCAGAATTAATACGCTACATTTCTTGATGTCCAGCCTTAAATATAAGCCTTTAATGTCAGAACTAGTTGACTACTATGTGACCATGTTTGATTTGGAGAAAACAGGTAAAAATTTGAGGGTATTGTCAATTTCTGAAAGTGTATCTGAATTTTTTGAAAGGCAACTTGAAGATATTTGGCTCGTACAAATAGTAAGATAATAAAAGATCATAAAATTTTAAGTCCACTAAAAGTGAATAAATCTAAAATCCCTTTAATTTAAAAATGTATGGTGTTTTTCTAAATGGAGATAAGTTTTTTTTTTATGGGGGGAGGGTCCCCTCTGAAGATCTGATTAAAACTAGACTCTCACCCCTGCAAGGCACACACATGCGCACTGTAAGTTTTACAGAACCTTGGGGGCCCACTCACATGGCCGCATAGTTTGGTTTTATCAGATATGTTTGTTTACGGCAATCAGGAAGATACGGTTTTTAGAGATACAAGGATAACTTAGTTTTTCCACACTGACGACAGGTGACTAGTTACCTATTTCATTTTAAGACATTTTTCAGGCTAACGTGGAGTGGATTTTACCTGATACCTGCAAGCAGAGAAGGACAGTTTTTAATTAAATGTCAACAGTCCATTATACTCTTATGTATTTGGTTCCAATGATAATGTCTGATGTGTAAAGGAATTCAAATAGGCACAGTGTTGTTCAGGAGATTTATTAAGTGAACAGCTAAAACATGACTAGGTACACTCAGCAATCAAAAGAAAGAACTGAATGGTCATTGCTATCTCATTAAGGCTTTTCTACCTGTCTGCCAGGCGCAAACAAAAACCACCTCTGCTCAAAAAGTTATACTCGGAAAGCTGTACGTTCTTTGGACATTTTTTCCCCCTAAAGTCTTCGCTAATCCCGGAAGATTAGCCACCTAAAAGACCCTACAATTCCTTTTTCCCTCTCAGATAGTTGATAACTTTTGCTCCTAAAACAGTCCTGAAAAACGCCATCGATCTTTCATGGTATCTCTAGAATCAATAGCAGGCAGAAGAGACTGAAGCCTTAAAGGCCAGACTAAAGCAGGAATAAATGATACAGTATTGGGAACCGTAAACCCTCCAGGAGAGCTGACTTGTCGCACACCCGTTTTGGAGGCTCTCCCCGAGTGCCTGCAGACCGAGTCCCAGAGCATTGGGCCGTCGTCAGCTCATTGGCTCCCACCACCTTGCACCTGACAGCAGGCTTCACGTCATTCAGAGCCCCACAGAAGAGCTTCCTAAAGCAAATGGGAAGTATTAGCTCATGTCTCTAGAGAATTAAAGGGCCAGAGGGTCCTTGTGCTAAAAAGTCCTTCGCTTCTCATCCAAGTTAACACAGTTTTAGCTTAACGTCAAAGAGGCACCGCTGGGTGATTTTTGTTTGCACCGACGACTACAGAAGCGACAAGTAGTACAGGAGACATTCCACACTAGGGTCACACAGCAGTCATCTCATAAAACCTGACGTAAACTCGAGGATGTTCACTAACACGGTATTTGCTGTCACACTTAGAAAAACCACGCTACACAGCAGTAGAGGACAAGGTGATACACAGACGTTTCTAGATGTTGGGGGTTTTTTTCCTGCCTGCAAAAGGGGGTGTGTCCTGACCAGCCTATTATGCTGACCTGTTTTCCTAACATGATTCAAGGCATAATTTTTCATCCCTTCATCTTGAAACGTTTTTCACATCAATGTGAACAACTTGCTGAGTCTAGAAAAGAGTCGTTTCAGACAACTCAAAATGAATAGATGACTAGAAGACACTTGGATGTCCCCCACACAGGTCCGAGACTGCACAGTCTGACTTGTTTTCATGGCATGGCAGCTGTTCCCCCGTATTGTAAACAACTGTGACAGTATGAGGTACGTCTACCCCGTTTTCCTTCATCCAGAGAGATAATCAAGTATATATCTTAAAGGGAAAGGTTCTAGTTGCTCAAAACTGTTAATTTGGGTGCTTTTCTCTGCTTTCAGAACAGTCACTGTTCCTTCCCCTCACTGAGTTTAATGTTTGCTTCCAACCACATGACACGTAAACATAAATTACAACCAGCTGTTCAGTTTCCTGGTAGACGATTACAGGGAGATGACCAGTGCCAGCTAAGATTTATGCATAAGCCCATTTATGCATTATCCTCTGTACTTGAGAGAACTAACCTCTAACTTCCAGGAGTATACTGATAACAATTTCAAGTTGAATAACTCCACTCTCTGTCACTACAAAACCACGTGCTGTCTCACTTGATTCTGTTGTGCAGACTTCCTCCTAGTTGCTTATTGTCGGAAGCGTTTCGGAGATAATGTGTGCTTTAGTTTTAAACACTCATTACCAATATTCAGAAAAAATACAAGATTTTTTTTTTGCCCAAGTGTTTGTGAATGTAAGTTAAAAAGTTATACCTGATTTGGATTCAAATATTTATAGATTTACACTATATTTCGTCAAAATATATTGTATAGTATTTAATAAAACCAAATACATAAAATAAAGTTTTCAACACTTTATACAAACCCCTAGAAAAGCTGCTTTTTCTTTATAAGGCTATTGGCAATCGATCACAACCATGGAAAAGAAATGATGGCCTTTGGAGTTGACTCTTTCACCAGGGATGAACGGGGCAGCTAAGACGGTTCTGGATGAGTCATGTCACTGGAAACACTTTTACACAATTAAATACTTCAATGACTTTTGAGGATCTCAGTCACTTTCACATTCTTCATCACCTAGCGGATACGACTGCACATTATTCTGAGTGTACATTTTTGTTTTAATGGGGCAGTTGTGATCCATGAGAATAGCCTAAAAGAGAACAAAGTGCAGATACATTAATTTCCTCTTTCATAAAGATAAAGTGGTTTTAACCTACTGTTTTTAAGGATCACGTGTGTAGATGAAAGAAGGGAGGGAAGGAAAAGAAGAAAAGAAGGGAAAGGAAAGAGGAAGGAAGGGAGAGAGAAAGAACCACCCACTACTGACCAGTCACTTGGTGCAACTGCCAACTGCCAGGCCCAGAAAACCTGAATTCCACACTCAGTGAAAATTTCAGGCAATAGGATACAGCAGAAGCAGTCTCCCAAGTGTTTTCATTAGACCTGCCAGGGGCCCTTAGTCATTTTGGGGGGAGCCTGTAAGCTATGAAGAAAGGAGTATGCAGGTTGGTGTAGGAAGAGTTACACTTAGAATCTTGGAACTGGGGCAGGGGGTGCTCCCTGGAGATCACCTAATCCAACTTCTGCTCAGAGACCTCATTGTGGCAACCTGCTCTCTCCTTAATGAGGTGGGCTCCGACGCTAGACACGTACCTGAGGCTGGACTAGCACCTGTCTCCGTTGTTTTGTGGATCAGGTTCTGCTTCCAGCCGTCTTCGCAGACTGCCCTTGCGATACTTTAAGACCATTGCTATAGCCCCTTAGGTTTCCCGAGACTAAACGTCAAACGGCCCTTTTCATAAATGGCACTTAGAAGCACCTCTCCCCGATTCCTGGCTCCCCAGCTCTTGCTTAAATGTATGATTTTAAAAATAATACATTCCTCTTGTGAACATAAATATCTTGTGCCTTCCCTTGTTATTGAAAATTAAGCAAAAAAAAAAAAGGCCAATTGATATTCAAATGATCAGCACCTGAATCATTATTCCTCCCGAAAGTACGCAGGCCCAGCACGGGCTGATAACACAGCTGATGTGCCTCGGCCAGGCCCGTGCTAAGCCTTTTCCATAAAATCCCTCAACAGTAATCGCACGTGGTGGGCTGTTAACCCTTCCCGAGGCTAAAGAACTTGACCAGGGGACGTCCAGCTAGGGTGGGGGAGACGTGGTGAGGCCAGACAGTCTAGGCCAAAGCGAACTCAGAGCATTGTGGTCCCACCAGGAGTGCAGAGGACAGCAGGGGGATGCTGGATGCAACGAAAGAATTCTCCCACCGGGTTCTGTCTTCTGGAGCTTTCTTCCACGTAAGCTATTCTCCTCACACCTTTCCGTGCCACCTGAAAATCTGTTTACGCGGGTTAAAACGTATCCTACACTGGCCTGCTGCAGCCTCTCCCAGTGCTTGTCTGCTGCTCCTCCCAGTTCTCGTTCCTCAGACCTGAGAAGCTTCTCTGGCTCCACTCAGCACTTACCCCGCTTTTCATTTAACCCGAACGGATTAGGGTTAAAAGAAGGACTTCCTGGACCCTCCACGTTAGGCTGCCAGCTCCAATCGTCAGCTGCAAACTTAGCTCCATTTTTTATCATGCTTCTTGCCAAGTGAACTGATACATGTGTTTAATAAAGGGATCGGTTTATAAAAATAAGTAACTGGGGCCACTGATGTGGTTTGTGCCAGGACCACCCTTCCCTTGTTGCACAAAAGGCTTAATTAATCCCCCAAGAGCTCAAGGTCTCATCTCCCTACATTAATGGTCCTCAAAGAAATGTGTCCAAGAATCGCTTTGCGGGGGCACACAGATGAAAATGAATTTCAGGTCCCTACTCTCACATGAGAGTGGTGTCGATGTGCCATGAGACTCACCGCCCTAGTGCATAAGGTCGACAGGGCTACAGCAGAGTCACACAGCCGACAGCAGCTTCGGGGGCTCCTGCTGGCCTGTGGGCCAGGGCCCTGAAGGTCCTACCCCAGCACCCTAGCTACCTCGCTGCAGGCCCAGTGCCGGGGCGGCCACCTGGGACGGACGGGGGTGGAGCTGAACCCGGAATGATGGAAAGAATTGACACTGTGAGGCAGGTGGGGATGAGTGCAGCGCGGGTTGTTTACCAAATGGGGCCTGACGTCAAACAGGGACACCAGAAGCCAGCCTCCCACATGGGAGATCTAATGATTAGGCACAGAGGGACAGTCATAGGAGAAAGCCTTACTGGAACCAGACTGCAGGGCCTTGAATGTCAGGCCCAGGGACTGGACCCTTGGCCCAAGGCAGCAGGGTGGCCTTGGAAAGGACGGCCAGCGCTCTTCCATTAGACCTGACTGTACATCTGTGTGCACCTCTCACGGACCCCCCGGTCCAAGCACTGGGCACTTAATACAGACACAAACCGCGTGGCAAGGAAACCAGTTCGGTCAGACCAACCGACACCAGTCAGATTTAAATGGAGAACTCACTAGTTCAGCTGAACCATGCAGCCTGTTCCAGGTAGAGAAGTTTTCTTCCTTGAAATGTTGTTCTTTAGCTTTTAAAACCTAGCTTACTGGCTTCTGAGCCTCTTTTGAAAGATGCATTGTATGACAGGCTCTTTTTTTAAAGTTATGCATGATTAAATAAGCTAGGTGGCATGTAGCATTCCCAAAGTGCCCTGAAAAGCGAGGCATGACCAGGGTCAAGTGGGTAAGTCAAGTGCATGAGGGTCAGTCGCCACAGAGTGGCCATGAGCAGCTTGGTCATGTACGCCAGTGCTCAGCACCCTGCAGTAGGGAGAAAGGGGTGTTTGACTCACCACGGAAGAGGAAATAAAAAAAGGAGGTCACCCTTTGAATTCAGATCTTCGAAGTGGTGAAAACACGTTGAACCAAATGAGGTATAAAGATAATGCAAATAGGAAGCCAGATAGTCACAGTAAAAGCATTAAATGCAAGAGTTCCAGGATGTAAGACCTAGAAAAATGCCAGGCCTGCATGCTACAAAAGTTTTATCTGCCATATAAAAAAAAGGGGGTGGTTTTGCATCCACTGTGTAAGTGTCCTACCAAGGGACGCATTTCTTTAAACAGATGGCAATATGCAGTCTGCTTGGCTCCTGGTGGCCCTGTCCCTGCCCAACCCACGGCATCCAGGAAACAGCTGGAGGGAGGGGAGCTCACAGCCTCCCAGAAAAATAAAGCTACAATCCTCAAACCACCTCCTCTCCTGTCTGGGCAACTGTGAGAAACTTCATGAGTAAGACAGAAGAAATGTGCCCTCTCTTGAAAGCTAATTCTTCAACCTGCAACACAAATCCATACCGAACACAGTTACTCTGGCTGGGTATTCCGAGAGTTATACCTGCGTATTAGTTGTCTCATAACAACTAGAATACAGTTTTCCTCCAATGCCTGTGTTGATACTTCTTATACTTGCTGAGGGGCTTCTGTAACAGTTTATTTCTCTCTGCCTGTATTGCTAACTCAACACTGATTATTTTTTTTTCAAAAACAGTAAAATAACACAATCCAGTGAACCAAATGGAAGGAAAACCCACATGCTCACAAACCAGTTCCTGAGTGTGCGACCTGGGATCTGTGAAAATGACATTAGACCTTTCTGTATAAAAGAGCGTTAAGTCCAGACACGACACTATCAGAATGCTGCCCAATGACAATTATTTGCTACGGTTTGTATTTCTTATTCCGGCGCTCACGTCCCCCTGCTTTGGGTAACAGCTGGTCCTGAACACTGACACTCAAATGGGCAGTAATCGATTATTTCTCTGCGCAGCACCCACTGTCTCACCCTTGGTCCCCCTGATATTAGGGGC